AAGCAAATATAGCTCTGCATTTTGATAAAAAAAGATCAATCTCAAATGAAGTCGTTTTTATTAAGACATTACGAAGATATGATATGCTCAATAACTGACAAATATGTGATGGGTTCCTTATTTTTTGTAATCAAACCAAATTGATCCAATTTCAGATAACTAGCCATACTCTCTTGCATATATATAAGATCAATCTTAGCACTTAAAGTAGATTAATTTAAAGATCTGCACATACCTTTTCTGTTTAGAGTTCTATCTTGCTTTAATAACAAAATAACAGCGTTGAGTTTAGCAAGTTCAATGAAAATTGCATCATTCGAAAGAGCATAAAAAGTTGAACAAAACGTACTAATTTCCTTGAGGCGTACTCATAAGTCTTCAGCAAAAATTTTTAAAATCGACTTTCCAGCAGAAGCAGCAAGGATCTTTATTTTTCTCTCTGTATGAAATATTTTTTTCTTCTCTATTTATCATTTGTCCTTGACAGGTTGACACATGTATCAGCTTGTACAAATATTATATGTCTAGTGTATAGTGAAAGAAAAAGAACCTTGCCATACTGCTCATGATGATGATGATGATATCTTACTTTAACTCAGAAACAGTCACTAATTTAAAAAACCTTTTTTAATAAACATAAGACACATATACAGAATCATATTTGATTATTAGTTTGAGAGAAATATTTATTTGAACACTGAAATATTTAAAGTCTTATTTATTGCTCAAAAATATTCATGGAGTATCTAGTTATTTTACTTTCTTCATTGATTCAAACAAATCATTTGTTTTGTTGTTACTTCTATTGAAGTAGATAATCGATAAACATCATGTTCGAAATGTTCAAGATCAATACTTTTTTCCTTTTCTTTTCTCAGTCATCAATGTCAACGTTCTAAGAGAGATACTATCGAAAGGAGCACGTGTATTATTCAATGCAAATGTTTATACATACTATGATCGAAAGCATTGCTTGCGCAGGCGCTATAGCGAAAACATCTCGTTTGGTGGTTTAAAAAGCGCCCATTATTTTTACAATAATATTTTAGTAGTATGTTTTTGATTCAGTTTATGAACAAACATAGTGATTTTCTCGAATACCATATAGTTTTCAAAAGGTTTATATGTGATATCAGTGTATCTCGATATATAAATTTAGTGATCTAATATCATATGTATATATATAAGCTGATGACTGAAAGAAGACAACAAGAAGTTGCCTTAGTTAATTAATAACGTTGCTGTATTGAACTGCACTAATCTTCACTTTTATTAAAGAGTAGAATTCATCTGATGCACAAATATCCAAAGTGACATGGTTTTATTTTATGAATGAAATTCGACAAATTGTTCGCTTTTATTTATAAATTGTTTTGAGCAAATCTCCCGCTTTCTCATGACATGTTTTCGAAATTATTCCATTGTTTTTATGAATTTCAATTGATCTATATTGAAGACGATCGTACAATTATCCATCGCGTCGTAGCTAACTGCTGTATTGTATTCTTTTCATTTCTTTTCACGCACATACAGGTGCACATATCCAAACCATCCTTAATGTCACAAAATTAAAACAGCTAGACACCTCGCGTCAACTTTTTTCGATGAATATGGTTTTAAAAAACTCATTTGGGATTAAAACAGATCAAGACAATTTCATTGGTAATATGTTTCCAAAAAAATAATTGTTTCAACGCAGCATAAAGTAAAATACTTTCATTTGGTTTCACTTTCTTAATAGTCGCACAAGGATTAATCAACATAGCAATGTTCAGCAGGTAATACTGCTTTAGGAGACAAGAAAATTTAACTGAAACCGAATAAAAAGAAAATCGTCAAGCCAGTGCAACACAAAACATAACAATGACATGTAATGATTTTTCAATCTTAGTCTTATGACGATTTATTTTCACGAAAATGAACTAGCTGTGATTTTTCTGATCGACAATTCAGTTGAACACCATGTCGACTTGTTTTGATCGGATCTAGAACTATTGACAGTTTAGGAAAATCATCGTATGCACTATAAGTCGAACTATGAACATAAAACAATAGCAGCATTGGAAAGGAGAACACCGATTCGTTTTGATCAAGACTATCCATCTCTGTATCGGTATGTGTGCTTGTCGAGTGATAAACATATTCTATTTCGATCAGGTCTCTGATCGAACATCAACACTGATAATTGAGAGAAGAAAAGGAAAAATATTGATCTTGAACATTTCGAACATGATGTTTATCTATTATCTATTTCAATAGAAGTAACAACAAAACAAATGGTTTTTTTGAATCAACGAAGAAAGTAAAATAACTAGATACCCCATGAATATTTTTGAACAATAAATAAGACTTCAAATATTTCAGTTTTCGAATAAATATTTCTCTCAAACTAATAATCAAATATGATTCCGTATAAGTTTCTTATTTTTATTCAAAAACGTTCTTTAACTTAGTGACTGTTTCCGAGTTAAACTAAGATATCATCATCATCATCATCATCATGAGCAGTATGACAAGATTCTTTTTCTTTCACTGTATGCTAGACATATAATATATGTACAAGCTGATACATTCGTATACATGCAACGAAAAACAATGAAAACGAAATAACGCAAAAAAAACAGGTATTCAGAAAGAAAGAGAGAGATAAAGAAACAAAATAATCCTTTCTTCTTAACTTTTTATACCTTTTCGAATAATATAATTCTATTGAGTCGATACGAGATCAAAAATTTCGATCGTTTGGTGTGATTTAATAAAAATGATTATAATTTATCAGACCTTATAGTGTTGTCATCATGCTTCTTGGACAATGAAGTTATGTCCTTAGTATCCCGATCATCATATACATCATTTTGATGACTAGTTTTTATCGATGCAGAAAAATAATCTGCTTTACTCTAAATATTGGTTCTAAAACCATCACTTAATTTGATATTTTTGTTTCAAATTATCATACAAAAACCTGATATAGCAAAATTCAGTGCATAATCGATTTTTATCTAAATCATGTATTGGAAATACACCTCCGGCATCTAAACATTGTGCTAGATAAGAAAATGAAATGATTCACTATGAAAAAATGATAATTTTTCAAATAATTCGCCACCATCATCGAAATAAGATTCAATATAATCAACTACTGTATTGATAAATAATCATATGTTTTCATGAACCATGCATTCACTTTTTATTTTGTCGATTGCTATTCATCGTTTTATTATTAAACGTATACAATTGGTATAATACTTGTCGAATAACTTTTGACGTAGTTTGATGATTAGATTGAAGATAATAAAATGAAGATTAGCTATTTTGTGGTATATGAAAGTAGTACTTGCATTTCAGCGTTTTGAATATCAATGTGGATATTTTTTTTCTGGAAAAGAATATCAAAGTCTTCTATCGTTGTATTTCACTTAGACTAAATTATATAAACTTCAAGTGCATTGTTTGCTGCATAAAAAGAGAGTTCATGTAAAAGACAACCTATTGTAACTGATCTTCGTAGTGTTGAAATAAATTTCATTAATTTAATGGTTGTGATATGCTATTTTTGACAGAGAATAAAACAATCCTAATTCACAACTAAAAATATATATATAATCATAAAAAATGAAAAATAGTTTAGAAGAAAAAATTTTATAATAATAATAACAACAATGGCAAAAACATTAACGATTGTAACGTTTTTGCTTTAATAAGATGTTTCCGATGATTATTGCAGATGCTATCCAGCTTTATATTTTTAACACAAATCATTACTGGAAAGGAATCGATCAGAATACTTTTATCATCACATTAGACATCCAAATATATATAGATATGAATCATTGAGCATCATGGGATTAAAAAACCCAGCTAGAATGTTCTTTTATATAACCATAAGATTTTACACTGGAGACATCTTTTCCATGTTGTGTTTTTATCACTTTGTCTAGTTTAGTGTCAGCATGAACAAACCTGTTAGCAAGAACAATAATATTGAACGAGTTTCTGTTAACGTCGCTAACAATGTATATGCAATCTACACTCTCTCAAAGATAAAATAGTTTTCTTTTTCACCTGTTTCTTTTTCTTTTCTTTTTCTATTTTTATACATAAATTTGTGTATGTTTGCATACAAACATTATATTTTATTTACGTATTATTTTGTTTTATTGTGTATTTATTTAAAAATAACGTATTATACTGATGTTTAGAGAACAAAAGTAACAATGAAAAGAAAAGAAAAATATCCTATTTAACGTTTTTCAGTTTTAGAATGTACACTGTAAAGTATAGAAAATAGAAAACGAATTCCTATGGACTTTTCTAGAATTTCGCATCGAATTTATTTATTGAAGCGTTTTTGAAACGTTAGTAAATGAATTTCCATTTCGTAACTTCTTTTTTTGAATTTATTTAATTTTACGTTCAAACCATATAATGCCCAAAAAAATAGCTACAATACGATGAGGAAAAAAACAGTTTGAAAACTACTAGCAATAGAACTACTAAATAAGTTAATTTTAACAAAAATCAAGAAAAAACTGCGCAACAATGAAAAATATTAACTAACGAGTATTTTGAGAAATTCTATCTTATATACTATTATACGTAGAAAATGTATTTTCTTAATGCATAATTGCTCAACTTATGTTCATTTAAAAATCGTGAAGCTGTCAATAACAGGGAAAACCTATATTTCTTAAATGAAAAACCATTCAGCACCTCTAACATTGCTCGAACCTTTGCTCTATATTTTATATTAAATATATCATAATATGATCCAAACATTTGATCAATTTTATACAACTTGAATCAAATGTTTGAACGATATCTCCATCAAATAGATCAGAACGAATATTGCTCTCACGAATCAGCTGTTTATCCGAAAAAAAGCATAAATGTCTATGTGATATTGAGATCATGCCAGCTGTTTGGAAAGAATTATTCAAACTTTGCAATAGTTCAATGAGTTATTAGTCGATCAAAAAAAAACAATTTCTAGGACTTATTCAGTTGATCATTGATAAAGCTGAAAATAATTCGGCAACGTCTTTGATTGGTTGCATCTCTTGAACAAGTCGTTGATAATGTACAAATTCAATATCCGTTTTAACTTCAACTTGACTATAATCATAATTTGTTATATGAATTAAAACATGAATCGAATTCACTTGTTGACATAATTACATCGAAGATTCTTCTGATTGTTCCTGTTCATCAACTAAATATTCCTAAAAAGACAAAAAATCAGAAAATATAAAATAAAAGTCTGAGTCTTATCGGACGAGACACCAAGTCCACATTTACAAATTTTGGTTTTTGTCCTGACATTTTATGACTATATAAATGTCGTTGTTTTTGCCAATACTTCAGATAAATAGCTGAATACTTTTCGATCACGAGAGAATTCTTGTTCTAACACTGATGTTAAAAAACTCTAAATGAGAGAAAAATAAAATAAAGATGAAAAAAGTATTCAATCTCCAATCGAACATACCATATCTTCACCAAATATTTTACCAAGTGTTGGATATTTACTTGTGACGCTAACTATCATTCGATTAAATTCCAATACTGTTCAATAAAAAGAAACACCATAAGTTTTAACTACATCATCACGAATCTTTTTAACTCGTTGTTGTTTCTTTCGACATCGGGCTTCAAATTCGGCTAGTGATGAATCTTCAGCAACATTTTCAAAAGCTTTATCAAACCTCATAGTCACATAATGTAATGGAAATCTTTTTTGATTGAAATGATGTTGAACTTATTAAAGAATTATTCGGTGATTGATGGATCATTTGATCAAGTGATGCACCAGTAGTTTGAGAACAATTTGTAGTCGAGAAAGATTGATCAAACGATAGATTTGATGTATTTGAATTTGATAGAGACAATATCAGCTGGTGTCGCAGATCAACATTGTCGTGTTCATTATCAATATTTGAAACTTTTAAAAAATGATAAATTATTGGAATGATCAGAGTAACATGGATACATAAGTATACCAAATTGTTTTTCACTTAATGTCACAATCGTATTAAAATGAAAACATAGGGCATAAGCAGTTAGTTGGATAAATGAATATAAACACTTATTATTTGAACGAACACTTTCTTCCGATTTCTCAAGTTTTTTTTCGAATGTTGTCGTAAGACTAATGGTTATTTTTTTTTTGATAATATTATCATGTGTACTAACTGATGTTAGTTCTTCCATAGATGATGAACCCAAATTTAACAACAATAAACCATCAATTTCTTCTTCTGAAAAAGATAAAGAAGACTCAATTATTAGAAAAGAACTGATTCGTCAATACCTTTAAATTCGTTTACATATGTATCAAATCCATTCCCGATCAGTCACGTAAAAATATCTTCATTAATCCAATCGATCGGTTATGTATCCATGATAGAATAGAAAAAAAATGAGAAAAATACTTTTAGTTTTTCTAAGCTCTTCAATGAACAAATCAATACGTCAGGTTTGTTAAGATGTATAATATATATATATATATCATCATAAAGCCATATAAAATGCTTATTCAGCAAGTGCTAAACGATAAGGTAAACGAATGAAACATGAATAATTTAAACGATAACAACCTTTTGCTTTATGTGTTAACAACTCACTCTTACCTAATATCATATAAACATATGATGGACTAACTTCACAACTCAACAGATTTTGTTTAAATGCTACCGTATCATAACAATCAACAACAAATTTCAATTCTTTTTCAATATTATTAATGTATTTAATTTCTACAAATAATGATATTTTGTCTCTACCTAATCAATAGAAAACAAACAAAAAAAAATCCCCAATCATGTATTTGACATTGTCTATTATCACCCAGTTAACACATTCTATAAATTTGCCATAATTGAATAGATAATCATCAAGTAGTGCATTTTGTGTTAGTTTTTAAAACTTGTTGTTCATTGTATATGAGATTTACTACTAATATCATTAGTTTTAAACATATTTTCGCTTATTAATTCCATCAACGTTTTTAAAACAAATTGCACATTGTTGTCCACGATTAAGACGTTCACAAAAAAATTTAAAGTATAAATTGAACAAATAAATTATAAATAGATAGAATGTTCATAATCCTAAAAAATATGAACAAACAAATATTGCTGATGCACGAATGGCTGTTTTATCATCTTTTTCCTATACCAAAATTGCTAATCTCATAGAATTATAAAAACATGATAATATGATGACGAAGAGGACGGCAAAATAAAAGATCGATGCACGGAATACAATCACACGATATATATCGATTGATACAAAAGTAGAAATATTCAAGATAGAATGAAACAGATCAATAAATAGCTAGTGGATAAAAAAATCATTGATCTTCTAACAAAATTTCATTTGAACTTCATGACTTGACAAATGTTTTAAGGCATTTTATCTCTGTTATAATAAGGAAAACTTTCATAATATGCGAGCCATCTCTTTAGAGGATGAATTTTATACAGATTTTGGCAAACGGCAAATGTAATGCAGCGACTAACATCGCAACAAGAGTGATTCTTTCTATGCTAAACATTTAGGTTGAAATGCGTCAAGTCATTCTTTTATTGATATCAAAAAGAGTGTATCAACAGACATGCATAATGAAGTCATGGTTGCTTAGACAGAGCAGTTATACTAATGAAGTCTTGCACACTCTTGTTTATCTATAGCATTTTTAATGTTTTCATATTGATAGTATATGAAAACTAAATTATTATTCATGCTCGAATCTACTCTGTGATTGATTCCATTTAAATGATACAATAAAACATATGCAAGTCATTAAATTTAGAAATTAAAGAACGTTGCATTTGATCAGAATATCAATTTAGTTCATGGCAAATCTAGCCATTACCTGTCTAATGTCGTGATCAATAAAATGAATTCAATTTCTAAAATAATTATAAGAAACATATTTTTCAGAAAAAGAATTTTTTCGAAAATTAAATTTAAAAATAATTATCAATGTAGGTATGCCTAAACGCATTTTTTTAAGACCGATTGTTTTTGTAGCTGATAAGGTTCACTAATATAGTCACCCACTTTATTACACATAATCGATGATGATGTAGCTATGAATCGAGGTAACAATCTCACTAAAAGTTCTTGCTCAATCGTCCAACCTATTCATATATATATAATATCAGACACATATTCATTGCACGCGGCATTGTTTTATATCATAACTACGGAACTGGTTCTTTGCGCATGCAGAGTTCGAACAGTCGGATGAGAATAAGCTTGAGCGAGATTGACGCCTCAGTTTAGAGCTACACCATCGTCGATCGATGATAATAGAGTAGGTGACCATTTGTGATGTTTATTGACTACAGAAAACAATCGGCGTTCAAAAAAAGATGCGCTTAGACGTACCTACACTCTAAAACAGAAAATGGTTCAAGAGGATATTTTTCTTCTTAGCATGGTTGTTTATATTCTCTCGATATTTCTAAAATGAATCATTTTGAAATATATATAGAATCAGACAAAATAACACTTAAATAAAATATAATATGTTTATGCAAATACAGGCATTGAGAATTTTAGAAATTATAATGAAAGTACTGTCGCTCATGTTTCCCTTTCTGACGTTTGTTACACATTAAAGTGCCGTACTTTGAAAATCTTGATTTTTCAGTCTCGAAAGGCACTTCTTCAAAAGGAAACATATCTGAACTTTATCTGTTCTCACAGACTATTTCATAGCGGTTCTTTTCATAAAAGCAATAGGAATGGTGTTCAAAATAAATCAAGTGAAAGCTGAAATTAATTAGAAATCGCTCAATATCCTTTTGTGATTAGATATCATCAATACTCCATGCGCATAAAAAAGGCCTTGTTGCATTATCATATAATTTTTTTCTTTCTCATTTCTTATCTCACAAGGTATTACCATTGTAATTTTGATTGACACGATTTGCTTTTTTCCTGACAGTTCGAATGATCATTTATCTTATTTCCTTCATATTTTAAATTGTAATCAACGATGCAAAAAAATACTATACTCTGCAAGAACAAACTATCTATTGATAAAAATAAGACACTTGCTTAACATAAGAAATTGTCAGGTGAAGGCCTACCGAAATCTGGTCTATTTGAATTTACTAAATTTTCTTCCATATGATGTGCTCTAAACGTATTATATTTCGGATTAGATTAACTGAAAGAATTAGAGCTTAATTATCCTTTGAAAAATGTCTGTTAAAAATATTCTCGACTTGTTGTCCTTATAAATAAATGTCCTTGAGTAATAATCGCTCGAATGAAAATGTTCACCACTGTCAGCTGCTGTTTTTTAAATATATTCGGAGTGAAATATGGAGTGAGGATGTCAGTCATCTATTAACCGCCATCCACCTTCAAACTCATAACTAAAAAGTTGAATGATCGTTTCACCAGTAACTAAACTACGGCTTAAAAATTACTTTAGGAATATTAGCTATTTGTTACGAATGGAAAATAAAGCTGTTAGCGCAATCCCTTGCGGGATTAAAAATGTGAAACACGATGGCTCTATTATTACTAATTAAATGGAAATCCTTTTCTTCCATTACGTTGCGATACATTTGTAGCTAACCGTTA